GCAGCCACAAAGCTATCACAAGCACTCAGACATGAGACACACAAAACTACAGTTCCTAGAAGTGGAATCACATGCCGGGTGAAGGCTTTCCAGCCAAGGTCTTAGCCCCTCAAAAGGTAGGAAACTTTGTGCTATCTATCTATCTATAGATTGGGAAACTAAAATACATTTATCTACCAGGAAATTAGGGAATGGGTGGTCAGAAACAAACTATACAACCACGCAGTTATTTTATTTAAGAGAAAAATGGCTCTTGGCCTTTATTACTACATTATTTCCATTCAAAAATCAACTATTTTCTTTCAGCATGCAGTAAAATTACTAAAAAGCAGAGAACATACTGGGTAACAGAAATCACATGCCACTTGTGGAGTATGGTTGCTTGAAATGTGAAGGTGCTTTAAGTGACCAGGCTAGACTCTTCAAATGCATGTATTTCACTGCACAGAAAATATATACTAAGTGGGGGGGGGGACTTACAGACCATGCAGCTGTGTATTTTTACAGCATATGGAGATCCACAGTAATTTTTTGTGACATAACCTGATCAAAAAAGAAAAAAAATCTGAGGCCTCAATTACATTTGAGCAGGGTAAAAGGAGCTTTTAGTTCCAATTTCAAACAATACATGGACATACCCTGAAGTTCCTAAATTCTATGTTTCAGGCAGCCATAGCCACCCCACTAATAAGATATTACACCATGCACAGCTGATTGTATTTTCAGGTTTTAATAAAAATCCAAGCTTAAAAAATTTCAAGAATATTGCTGTAGGCATCAATATGGCTCTTCTTCCAAGAACAAGGTCTCAAGTGAATGAGTTCCTTTTCCCACAATGAGCAGTGTTTTCTAACAGTGGCTGTGTGTGAAACCAATCAGTCCTGAGCCAATTAAGATCTCTGCACTATAATGGCCTCCAATTGCTACAAAAAAGAAGTTTTTTTGATGAGGAGTGAGAGCTATTCTGATCAGTGACTATAAGGATGGGTATTTAAATAAAATGGGGAAATCATACTGATTTAAAAAGTGGTAGCAGCATGTTAAGGTCCATGACCTCACCGGCAACAGGTAACTGGCTGGGTTTGCAGTGTAAGACATGAATCCCTCCTATACAGTGGGTCATATGCCCAATGAGATAGCTGTTGGTTTCTGCCAAGCTGCACGTGCCAGTACTGCACCCTTGCAGTTACCTCGCTATGCTGGTGAGTGCTGTGGTTAGTGAGCTTTGCAGCTGTATGACAGGAAGCTGCATCCATGAAATCTCAACAATATGACTGTCTAAAGCAAGACTTGCACAACGACAACACTGGTTGGCATCCCAACGTGGATGGGGATATCTTACCAGGCCCCATCCCTAGATGAAGATATAAAATCAGTTAATGGTTGCTAAAAGCGACAATCTGCAAGCTCCTCAATAGGTTATCTAAGCCAAAATGGTCAGTCCTAAACACATAGGAAGAGGACAAAACGGATTCCACAGGGTGGGTGGTGTAGTGTGTTGTGGTGTGTGTGTGTGTGTGTAAGGGAGGGAAAGAATTAGGGGATTAATTAATTAAAGAGATAATGAATTTGAAAGGGAGTGAGGACAGAGTAAGAGTTTGGGGGAAGAAAAGTAGGATGGAATGATGTAAATTTAGTACTAACATATGGAGAGAAAAACTGAACTAAAATCCTTATTGGCCAGGAAAGAGACTCAGCACTAAAGTGCTTACCTGTAAGTCTAGTGACTGGAATTTGACTCCTGAAACACATGTTACAGTGGAAGGAGCAAATCAAAACACACACACACACAGACAGACAGACAGACAGACAGACAGACAGACACACACACACACACACACACACTAAAATTAAGCTTAAAAATTAGTAAAAAATTGCTACAACAGAACATATTAACAGCAAGAGATTTTGAGAAGTGCTATCCAAAAAGCAGTGTTGCAGTTCATATTCTGCCAGTCACCAAATTTGCTATCACAGCTGCTTTTAACAGGTGAATAAAAGTCCAGGTATGGTGATTTTTAATCCTGGTACTCAGGAGGCAGAAGCATGTGGATCTCTGTGAGTTCACTCCCAGCATGGTCTACACAGCAATTTGCAAGTTAGCCAGGGTATATGGTAAAACCATGTCTTAAGAGAGAGGATGGGGGGGGGGAGACAGAGACAGATGACAAAAAATATTTCAGTAGTAATCCAAACATTAATTATGTGAATGGAAATTGTTCCTTAAATATCAGTATTCTAGTAAAGGCTGAAGTCAAGTAGAAAAGAACTACAACTCACTATTTCTCCTAGATTGGAGAAGAATTTACATGCTGGTGAGAAACTGGCATCACTCACTCAACAAGACAGAAGAAAATATAACCTTCCCCCTCTTCTAGTCAAATAGCACCCAGAGGCCAAGAACACAAGCTGAGCTCACCAAGAGTTTGGGGTCCTTGACAAACCCAAGCTACTTTGCTACAACAAAATATCTTCAGCCCGGTCAAGCAAACCATAAGGGCCTTGATTGTACCTTAAAGGGAAGGTAAGGGTTTCACTCTATTTGCATTTTAAAGGGTTCTCTTTCATGATCTTTCACACTTGAAATAGCCTTCTAAACCTTTTCTTTTCTTAGTCTGAAAGTCAATAAAGATGAAGAGCTTGGCCTCTCTCATTGTTCTTCACCCTAACCCATCCCAGAACAATACTGACAGCTGCTATCAAACAGGCTCCACTTGCTCTGCACAGCTGCTGTCTGAACAGTCTCCCAGTGCTTCCTCCCCTCTGGCCAGACAAGCTGGCACACTGCATGTGCAATGAGGGGGTGCAAAGGTCCACAAGATTGTCAGCCCAATTTTATGCTACTTCGATTTTCCAGGATGTATGCAATTCTTTTCAAGCAAATATCAAGCATATGCCAAAGCATGAAGCTAAAGGCAGGGGCTACTGCTGATCTTTGCAAACTTTCAAAGAGTCTGTCATAATATACTGAACACACCATGATGCATTAACTCTTGCACTGGGCCCAATTCACCAACTTGGGTTATTATTGCTAAACTATCAAAGCTAACAGGTCTCGATAATCTCAGCATGCTTTCCTGAACTAAAGCCATTCCTAAAAAATCCACTCTTTTTAAAATAACCTATTCATACTTTCTGATTCCATTCAAAATAAATACTAACTATAAATATGTGGCTAATACATTTTCCCCTTCTGAAATGTAGACCCAAAGATGACACTCAGGTCTGGGCAGTGCCTTTGAGAACTCAAAACTAGCATTTTATTCCTGAAGAATTTATACATAGCTGGGCATGTAACTCACTTGCAGAATGCTTTCCTAGTATGGGTGAGGCCCCAAGTTCAATCCCCACCACTGCCAGGGAAAAACCAGAAAAATTACATGTAAAAATTCAGAGCCTATCAGAAAACAAACATGTCCCACAGAGTTGAACAGGGCCCTTCGGATCTGCTTTGCATATGTTTTCTTTTAATCAAAACAGGCTTTTCCATCCTCATTCATTTGGGTTAAAAAATTCCTTGTTCCAGCTACAAGTACAATCACTATTAGTCCCTTCTAATCAAACACGGTATGTGCAAAAATGCCAGTGAATATTTGATTTGATCTCTGAAATAAAGCAATTCATTACACAAGAAAAGGATAGAGAGGCAGCAGACAAACGCAGGCATAATTGTGTTTTTTGTTGAATGTGATTAGAGAGCCCACTAAGTAACAGTTAAAAATGTGATACAGGAAGGGAAGAAAGACAGAGAGCCCAGACCTGGGGGAAGGAGGGAGAACTGTTTATGCAAGAGCTAAACTGTCAAGTGCAATAAAACGGCTTGAATAAAATCTAAGCTGAAAATCCACTGAAGCTCCCTGGATCTTGGAGGAAAAAGCTATTAAAAGGAAATGAAGGTCACCCTCCCAGTTTATTTCACCTAATTGACTGCCAATAGCTTACCACAGGCACCCCAACTGCAGATCTGCAATTGAGAAGCTGATGAAAGGAGGGTTTTCAAGCTGAGGCTCATTCTTTAATCCGCCTTGGCTCTTATGTTTTTCCCATCTCCAGTGGGGATGTAATTTTAAACCTTGATAGATTAACTGGTTCCATTGTCTGTCACAGCACTGGACTATGGCACTCTTAATCCCTACAGCAGCATGTCTAATTATCATTACAAAGTGTCTGAGGGAACTATAAAGACCAGCAGGGCATCTTCTCACAAGCAATTAACATAAATTGATAAATGAGTGATTTTGAATCCATTTGAAGAACTCACATATGAATAAAATAAAGCCCCCCTCAATTTCAGCCACTTCTTTCCTTTAGTCTAAAAGGGGCAGAGCACATGAGAACCAACTTAGGTCCTAAAGTGGGTGGGGCCAAAATCCAGCAAAGAAAGAGACAGAATGCCTGGTCCACTAGATCCCTTAAGGCAGAACAAATGACTTATGACTGACAACAGAAACCAGCTTCACCAGCAAGAAGAGATGGCTAAACTCCAGAGGAGCACTGAACCCTGAAAGGTCACAGAGCAGTAGGGCAGACAATTAACACTCCTTCCCTGGAGAGGGAGCTTTTCATTGGTATGCCACTTTAAAATTCATGAAAGGGGCACAAGAAAGAAATATCAAACACTACACAGGTTCTAGTGTCCAAGAAAGCAAAAGGCAACGGCAACTCTGAGAGTAATTCAGAGTCCTATGCTGACCTCACTGTGGTGGAACTGTACTAGCCAGAAGCAAGAAGTGTTTAGAAACTGATCTACAGCCTCTACCTCACTAACAGAAAGGCTGGTTTGTAAGTATCACAGGATCTAGAAGAGTTACTTTTACTTGTCTTCTTCTCATCCTCCTTGTGCTAATATGTCCTCTTCCCTACACATCTCCACACATCCCCCAAACCCCCTTTGACCTGCCCTTATTAAGCAAATGAGTCATCTCAGAGTTACACAAACTTAATTGTGTGTATGTGTTATGCCATCAAACCATAAAGAAATGAAAGCTGGTGATACACACTGTAGGAGGTAGACCTGGTAGGCCACGTACCCCGATGATGGCATTCAACTCTGCCATGGTCACCTGTTTGGCACGTTCCACAGCCTGGGCCACCTGTTGTTGATGCTTTGAAAACAAGGAGAAGAAAATGTGTTAGCAACAGCTAGGAACTTCCCTGTTCATTCTGACAACAAAGACAGCAGGTCCTCATGCATGTGTTACTTTACAGAACAAAAAGGAGGGGCAATGGGATGGTGCCACCATTTATTTCTCTGTCACCACTGGTAACTATCAGAAGGGACATCAAGAATGGTGAACTAGAGTCTCTGGATAGACAACACTACAGAGACCCAAGGCAGAGAGGGCTGTCCTAGCTCACAAGAGTTTACAGTGGTGCATTAGGGCACATGACGTTAATAATTCAAACACCCATCTTGCTACTAAAAGCATCATCAGTCAGTCTGTGATTTCTTTGATTAAAAAAAATCTAGACACATCAGCTTATTAATAAAAACAACTATGGGAATTCATCCTATTATTAGTTTTAGCCTTTAGGTATTTCACTACTTCATTGAGAAAGCTCTGTTTTCAATTTAGAGAATGAAAATTCACCTTGCCCACTCCCCAACTCTACACATAATTAAAATATAGCTACATTCAATTAGAAGAGGCTAGCAGAAGCTAAGGTCACTGAAAACTGACAGCAAATCTGTAGGAGCTCAGGGTGCTCTACAGCTAACCCTAACCTCCCACCAGCCAAGTCTCTCCCACAGGGCATCGTATTTACATACTAAAAACACTTTATTCCCCTGAACCCAGAAAGAAGATAAAACTTTCAAAGCAAAACTGAAATACAATGCTGAGTCAATCTCCAATGACTCCTATGAAGGGCTCCTTCTATAAAAATGTTAAAGTCAACTCAAACCACATGGCTTATCTATGTTTATGACTGAGTAAAAAATATGTGAATGCTCATTTTATCTTTGTGATGATTATCATTCACTCTCTCCATGGAATGCATATGATAAATTAAGGGCCTCTTTTCATACAGATCAACCCCAATGCACTCACTTTCAAATCAGCCCACGAAAACAGAAAAGTGTGCCTGAATCATTTTAAGCACATATTACTTAAACACATGCACAGCTGGGAGCGGTGGCACAGGCCATAAATCCAAGCACTGAAAAGGCAGGGGCAAACGGTATCTGAATTTGAGGCCAGCTTGTTTCACCTCATGAGTTCCAGGTCATAGTGAGATGTAAACAGACAAGATAGAGACAGACAGACAGACAGACACATGCACACACACATACCCCAAAGCCTTCTTTATACTTGATAATCACTGTGCGAATTTCCAGTAATAGTAATGACAATAATAACAACAACAATAATTTGGGGTTGAGATACTACCACCCTTGAGCAGCCTGCCCTCGGACGCCTTAGAAAGACAGGATTGACACACTTCAAATATAACAGATGTTCTTCACACTTGTTCCTTGTGATAAAATTAACATCTTAAAAGTGGCTAATTTGCAAACAGAAGCAACATAATGGCACTTTAACATTTTACTTACTTCCTGAGACAGAAATGGGATGACTTGTGCACAAATGGTATTCAATCTCTTGGCGATTTCAGTCTACAAAGACAAAGCCACATACATGTTTAGAACACCTCCCAGTCAATTCAGAAAGTTGAAACTTGAGTCTTCAACTCATGCTCCAGGGAACAAAAAAAGTGTTTCCTTAAGCCATGGTACCAATAATTACCTGGAGATAAACAGTAGATAGCAGTGTTCCCTACAGACTAGGCATCAGTGCACATTTTACTGGTCACTTAAGAGATAATGATGGAGCTGGAGAGATGATTCAGGTTAAAAGCACTGACTGCTCCCCCAGAGGACCCATGTTTCACTCCCAGCACGCACATGGTGGTCCAGAGCCAGCTGTAATTCCAGCTCCCTTGACATCTTCACCTCTGTGGTTACCAGGCACACACATGGTGCACAGACATACATACATGCTGCCAAAACATCATATACATAATTTAAAATTCAAACTAAATAAAAATTAAGGAGTATTTGAGTCAGAAAAATCTATGTGGTTTAGGTTATAAGGTCAATACAACCTGGAGTTGGTAAGTCCCTAACACTTTCTCATTGAGGGTATACAGTGGGACATTTTTACAGTTATAGCAAGTTTACTCAGAGTGGTATGTTAAAAAACAACAAAACAACAACAAAACACGATGTCTAAGTAATGCTGCTTTAGCATAGCTCCAAAGAAGAAAACGGGGTATTGGCACCATCTCGGTGGTTCACTATACAATGCTGGTGCAAATGTAAATTGCTGCAGTTGCTACAAAAGTGTGGAGATACCTAAAAACCTGAACACACAACTACTGCACGAGCCACTTCAACACTCTGAGATAAGTCAATGAACCACATATTATTTCACATTCACAATTGCCAGGACCAGGTTAGATGTCCATCAACAGATGAGCAGATAAAAGAAGATGTGGTTCATACACGCTATAGAATTTTGTGCAACCACAATGGTAAATGAAATCACAACATTTGCAGAAAGGTACATGTTCATGTGTGTGGCATATGTGGCGAGTGAGGGGGGGGGGGCTCAAGTACAAAGGAAATCATGATCAAGAAGGAAGAGACCTGGCAGGGGGTAGAGAGGTTAATAGAATATGTGACATTAAAGCAGAACTAGGGGGTTGCTTGAAGCCAGGAAAGAGACCAGCAAGAAGGTGCAGGGCAGGGGTCATAAGTGAGGGCAGCCAAGGGGAATAAATCTATAAAATATAATTACACATATGCATGAAAATGTCATAATACAGTCCACTACTTTGTATGCTAACTTAAATCCTCCACTCATAAAAGGCCTTTGATAAAATCCAGCATCCCTTTCTGATAAAAGGTCCTAGAGAAAAAGGGATATCATGGACATTATCTCAACATAACAAAGACAATTTACAGCAAGCCCACAGCCAACATCACTCTAAACACATATAAACAAAGCATTCTTACTAAAATCACAAAGGAGACAAGGAAGTCCATTCTCTCCTGTGGGGTGACCTATTCAATACAGTATGCCTAGTCTTATCTACAGCAATAAGACAAATGGAAAAGATCAAGGGAAAGAAGTTGTCCTTATTTGTAGACACTAGGATTTATACATAAAAGACCTTAATGACACCACCAGGAAACTGTTACAGTTGTAAAAAATTTTCACCAGAGTAACAGCATAAAAATTAACACATACAAACCAGTAACCTTCTTATATACAAATAACAAATATACCAAGAAATCAGAGAAACAGCACTTTTCACAACAGACAAAAAACAAAACAAAACAAAACTAAACTCTAAAAAACCTCTAACAAGTAAGCAAAAGACTTATAAAACTGTAAGGCACTGAAGAAAAACACTGAAGACACTTAAGAATCAGTAGGATTAACATTGCTTTTCTTTAGATTCAATGCAATCCTCACCAAAATTAAAAAATATTCTTAAACTTCATATAAAACTAAGATAACTAAAAGAATGAAAGGAATGCTGAGTAACAAAACTGCTGGAGGTATCATTATCCCAGATTTAAATCTATACTACGGAGCAGTAACAATACTAAAGAAAAATGATACACTGATCAATTGTATACAACTGATTATATGGACATAACACCAAAGCAATCAGAAATATACACTGGAGGTAAGACAGTGTCTTAGCAAATGGTGCTGACCAAATTGGCTAGCTGGGTTGGAACAATGAAAACAGACCCAAATGCATCACCCTGTATAAAACCCAACTCCAAATGGATCAAGGACCTCAACATAAAACCAGATACCTTCAATCTGGTAGAAGAGAAGGTAGGAAATAGACTTGAAATTATTGACACAGGAAAAGACTTTCTGAACAGTGCAAACATTAAAACCAACAATAAATGGGACCTCATGAATGTACAGTTTCCAAATAGCAAAAGATATCACCCACTGAACAAGGAGGTAGATACCCTCAAGAATAAAGTTCTTTATGAATTATACATACAGCAGAGGTTTAGTGTCTAGACTATATAAAGAACTCAACAAACTGAATGTTCAGAAAACCCAATTTAGAAATGGGACAAAGAACTAAAAGTTCCCAAAAGATGAAACACAAAAGGCTGAGAAACACTGAGAAACGTTCTATGTCCTTTGCTATCAGGGAACTGCAAATTAAAACTACTTTGAGATTTTATCATATGCCAGTCTGAATGGCCAAAATTAATAAAACAAATGACAGCAAATAGTGGTAAAGATTTGTGGAAAGGGGAACACTTATTCCTGGGAGTGCAACCCTGTATAGCCACTATGGAGATCAGTGTAGAGGTTCCTCAGAAAGCTAAGAATAGATCTACCTCGGGATACACCCATACCACTCTTGGGCATATACCCAAAGGAACTGCATCTTCCTACACAGATCCTTGCTTACCCATGTTCACTGCTGCTATATTCATAATAGCCAGAAACTGGAAACAGCCTCAATGACAATCAAATGATGAATGGATAATGAAAATGTGGTACTTTATACAACGGAATATCATTCAGCTCTTGAGAAAATTAAAATTTGCAGGTAAATGGATAGAGACAGAAACAATCATTTTGTATGTGAATGTCAACTTGTAAGTTTTAGGTATGTTTATTTCTTTCAGAATACCCAGATGTTAGCTAGGAAGTGATCAAGGAGGAATCGGGAAGGGGATTTTCGAAGGAAGGGAAATAAAATACAATGTCATAAAGGGATAAAGGGGAAACTAGAATAGGATTAAATGGGAAACGAGGGGAAGGCAGAGTAGAAAATAGAATACAGGGGGGATGATTAACATTAAAGACCTGTTAAAAAGCTATATGGAAACCTATTGCTACAGAAGCTTCCTAAAATATATACATATATAAAAGGAATCGAAATGGAGTTATCATATGGGAACATTACCCAAGTAGACATCTTATGTTGCCAAATAAAAGCCCCAGTACCAAGAATAAGTTACATCTTTTTAAGGTGGCTAAAGGGGGCCCACAGATCTCCCCAAACATTATATGATATTGCCAAGGCTACTGGTTACCATTCAAAACCTGATGGTAATACCTTATTGCTGAAGACACACTTGCTTCATCAAAGGACAAGTGAAACTCGTGCCCAACTAGAAGTTTCACTGCTACTGACTATTCAGTGTTCAGAGGTGAAAAGTAATCAATCTCATTTAGCTACAAACCCAGAAACCACCAATAGAGAGCTGCCTGTAAAAAGACCCACTGGTACAATAATGACACAAATTTAAAAGAGCAACTGTGCTGACTATTGTATCAACTTTAAACATTTTGGAAGAGGGAATGGAATCTCAACTGAGAAACTGACCCCAGCCAGACTGGCCTGTAGAAAAGCATATGGTAAACTTTCTTGATTGGTGATTGGGAGGGCTCAGCTCAGTGTGTATGGTATTACCCTTGGGCACTTTGTTCCTGAGTGCTGCAAAAAGCAAGCCATGAGGGGCAAGCCAGTAAGCAGCACTTCTCCATGGCTTTTCCATCAGCACCTGCCTCTGGGTGCCCACCCAGTCGGGGTCTCTGCCTTGGCTTCCCTCTGTAAACTGAAATAAACACTTTCTTCCCTGGGTTGCTGTTGTTCACGATGTTCTATCACAGTGATAGAAACCCTAACCACAGCACTAACCAACCACTCTTCTATTGAATTTAAGGCCCATTCCATGAGATGGAACCCATGCCTGATACTGTTAACGAGTCCAAGTACCTCCTATTCCACAAAATGAGCAATAACATGGCTAAAAAAGCAATAACTAACATGACTCCTAATGATACCCTGCTATACCCAAAGATAAGAGCATCTGAACCTTCTTCTTGCAGTAGATATCAACTAACACAGGGACCCACAACTGGACAATGTGCAAAAAGTGAGAGTCCTTGGAGCACTCTACTCTAAACGGGTTGTCTTCATTAAATCCCTCTCCTCCAAGCTCAGGAATCTATGCAGAGGAGTGAAAAGAACCTAAGAGCCAAGGTTGGTGGACCACTTCAAGGAAACTAGACAGAACAGGAATGGTGCATATAGGAACACAAAGAGACTTTGGCAGCATTCACAAGAACTGAACAATTTCAAGACATAGGTCCCAGAACAACAAAGCAAGAGTAGACCAAGACCCACCCCATACCAAGAAACTATATATATATCACATGTACATACACACACACACACACATACACTCCAGGATAGGCCCCATGCTCAGGAGTAGTTGGTTAACACCAAATGAATACCATGGTGCTTCTTTGGTTGGTTTTACCCTTATTTCATTGTTCTTTTTTCGTCGAAAGAAAGAACACGATTTGGTAGGCAGGGAAGCAGGGAATATCTGAGAGAAGATGGGGAGGTTAAAAATATCAAAATATAGTAGGGCATTTTTAAAAAAATAAAAATTATAGATTAAAATCTGCTTAAAAAGTTCATTATACTTAAACCAGTAACAATGTTTTTTTCTGATAAGTTCAGTATTCACAGAAAATCAATGTTTAAAATGAAATTGTTTTACTTACTTTCCCAACAACTTTAACATTCATTAATTATTTTTAAAAGGTAAAA